GGGGAAGCAGAGACCTGGGAGGCTGCTGTTGGCGGTTCTGGGCAGGAGATAGCGGCTGCTTGGGGCTGTGTAGCCATAGGGGTGCTGAAGTTGTCTGATTCCGTCAGGTATTTTTTGAGGGTAAGGTGTGAAAGCAAGAGAGGAGTTGCCATGAGAGAATGACACCAAGGTTTGGGGCTTGAATGACTGGGGGGTGGAGTTATCTTTCTGAATTGAAGGGAAGACTCCAAGAGGAGCAGCTGTGGGGGAATCAGAGTTTTTAGGAATGGGTACCTAGGCCTTGGGATAAGACTTCAAGTTCTAGCATCATGCACAAGATACAAGAAGTGCCAGCCCTCAAGCCAGTCACATAGGACTAGGATGTGCCTGAGGCACTTAAATAACTCTAAAAGTTACTCTGATATTGTCAGTTACTCTGATGTCAAAGATGGATGTGGATCAAATTATTTCTTAAAATGTATGACTAGACAATATATTTCTACACTTGTTTTAAATGTAGTATAATTAAAAATAAGTAGGCATTAGAAGTATTTCATCTTCAGTGCTAAAAGCTCTCACATTCAATTTGGCCAAAAAACTTTTTTGATTTCCTTATATTCAGGCATATATGGTGTTTACTAAGCACCCATTATGAGCCAGGATTGTGCTAGCCACTGGGGATTTATACACTAATCAAATGTATAATTACAGGCTGTTAAGTGCTCGTGGTAGGGGATTAATAAATGGTAGCTATTTCATAAATAGTAAATACCTCCTACTTTATAAAGAAACTAAAAGCCAGAAGTCCAAAGGCTTACAGAAGCATCTAGACCTTTTATCCCTTCTCTACCTGTGCCTTCTCCCTTTCCTGTAATATTGCATGGGAGTATAATTTGCCCAAGTTAGGAAGTGAACACCAGGAATGTTCATACTAAAAAATTATTTGTTGTTTGTTTGAAATTCATATTTAACTGCGTGTCCTGTATTTTTATCCATTAAGTCTGGAAACCCAGGTCAATGTATATTAGCAGAATAAATGTCCTGAACATCTGCTATATGCCAGGCAGCTCACACCTTGTCATTAAATCATCATTTGTGCAGTTACTTGTTTTAATGGCTGCCTCGCACACTAATAAGCTCTTAAGGGCAAGGACCATACCTGTCTCGTGCACCACTGTCCTCCATACTTGACCCCGAGTATACTCAGTAAATATTCCTAGAATTGAAATGGAACTAAAGGGAGCCCTTTGACAATGATACTTCCTTTCCGTGGCGACTCTTCCAGCCCAGAATTAGGGGCCGGTACGGTGGCGAAAAGATCCTGAAAGAAGCTGGCCCCGCTGTCCAGTGCGGGGAGGCGGGTCCTCAAACCGGAAGCGCAGGAGCCAGGACTTGCCGGGCAGAGGGGGCGAGACTGGGGGCAGGTAAGATGGCTGCTGCCTGGTGTGGACCTGACCTGCTCAGGCCCTCGACGTGATCCCTGGAAACTCTCTTGCCTTTTTCCCTTTCTCAGTATCCCCTGGCCTTCTGCAGTATCTGCTGAATGTCCCATATGAGGCTCAGCTGGGCGTTAATGAGTACAGGAATAAAGACAATAGATAACCATTCTCATCCTGGGTTCCTGACACAGTGCCTGCCCTCAATTTTTATTTAATCCTCTCTCCTGAAAGGTGACCAAAACCAGGCATTCAGGATACTCCAGAAAAGTCAATCTGATTGAATCCTCTTAACCAGCCCCGCTGTTACACACATGTTGGAGTGGAGGAGGGAAAGGGTGAGTAATTTTCCCGAGCGGAACAGGAACAACTCGGTGGTACAGCATAGAGGTGTGAATAGACACATGGTCTCAGGCACACTGCACAGCCCCCAGCATCTACACTACTAGTTGTGTGACCTTGGACAATTTTATTTTGGTTTGGCTGCGCCGTGCAGCTTGTGGGATCTTAGTCCCCCGACCAGGGGTCAGACTCGGGCCCTGGGCAGTGAAAGCGCAGAGCCCTAACCACTGGACCGCCAGGGAATTTCCTTGAACAACTTATTCTAATCTCTTTGTGCCTTGGTTTCCTCATCCGTAACATGGGGTTAATAAATGTGTCTTCCTCACAGAGTTGTGGGAAATTTAGTGAAATAATCCACATCAAGCATTAGAACGGGGCCTGGCACAAAATAAGTGCTTAATAAATGTGAGCTACCAGTGCCACTACTGTTTTTCTCCTCCATTCTTGAGACCACCCAGCAGTGCTCAGCCTCACCCAAGCAGCTATAGCAGCTGTAAATGTCTGATGACTAAGTACTACTATTAAGTGAAGTGTTTCCCAAACTTGCCCTGAAGACATGAATTACCTGGGAGGCAGTTGCTCCAAAATAGATTCTCAGGCTCTTCTCTTAGAGATTCTGATTGGCAGATGTGGGTGGGGCCTGGGAATCTATCTTTTAAAAAGAGCCTCAGGTAAAACGCATCCTTAGGCTAGCTAGGAAATTCTATTCTGTACACAGGCTAGTGTTACAACACGTCTATTGCAGCTGGGGTGGGGCAGCCGCTCAGTTGATGTGGTTAGAACCAGACGGACAAGCTCAGTTCTTACAAGACTTTAGGGATAACTCTTCTGCTTATAAAAATCATCTAGACTGTTTGGTCTCACGTGATGACCCCACAAATTATTTACAAAGGGAAAATTAGTAACTTTGTAGTGGAGAAACCTAGCAGACACCTTCTTTACCGAGGGATCAGACTTAGTATCCCCGATAATGGGACAAACCGTGGGTGACTTGATGGGATGCACTCGAGGACGCAGCACTTCCGAGGTTCCTGGCAGAAAAACGTTTAACCTGAGTCTAATTATAAGGAAACATCAGG